GGGTACAGGTAGGGTCCTAGGGGGGCAGTTAGGGTGGGGGGAGGGTCTCAGGAGGGGGCAGTCAGGGGACAAGAGGCAGGGAGGCTTAGGTAGGGGGTGGAGTCCTGGGGGGCAGTTAGGGGCAGGGGTCCCAGGAGGGGGCAGTCAGGGGACAAGGAACAGGGGGAGGGTTGGGAGTTCTGAGGGGGGCGGGAAGTGGGAGGGGTGGGGGCGGGGTTAGGGCAGGACGGGGGCGGGGCTCGTCCCGTCCTCTTTTTTGCTTGCTGAAATATGGTAACCCTAGTTTCCAAAATTCTCCTCCTTCCACCCCCACTCCCAATACCCACTCATCCTGTGCAGCAGAACTCCCTCTGGGGCCCTCTGCAACTGCAGAGGACTGGACTTTGCTCAAAGGGTCCCACATCCTGCCCTTTATTTCCCTGTATCACTCATTCAGCAGTCCTTCTATTGGGCAGACAGGCAGTGCCTGCCTCTTTGTCACTAGCAGTTTAACAGCTTTCCTGAAGCCTGCTGCTGTGAGTCAGAGTGGCATGCAGCCTTGCAGATGTTTGTTTGAAAGGCAGGTTCTGTTCCATGCCTTTATTGTGCTCATGTTTAAAGAGGCAGCAGCCTCCTTACAGTTACAAATGGAGCTAAATGCTGGGAGAATTCCCAGTGCCAACACGTACCAAGCATTCTACGCCCCAGGAAAGCAGGCCAATGCAAAGCCTCCGTGGGGAGGCTTTTGCATTCAGCCCTGGGCCTTTGTCCTCATGTCACAAGTTTTTCCACTGAATGGTGCTCAGAGAAGATGGAAATCATGGACTTATATTTTCACCCTGGCAAATGTCATGCAGGGCAAGAACAGAACATTTCACTCAGCTCTAGCTGATCTGGGATTAAGTTTTATCCCTGTCCTAGTGAATTATAAAAGAAAAACTCTCCAGCTCCCAAGAGCTCCTGTTAGTGGATTCCATGCTGATTTTTCCCCTCTCACTTTTTATTTAATAAAATGCTCTGGAGACAGAAGAATTTTCATTCTGTGAATTAATATTGTCCCACCTACTTTGTGAAGCAGATCATAGGCTATCTAATTTCAGGGTAGTTTCTTTGACTGAAATGCTGTCCTCTAATTTCTTACAGATTATTTATCAGGAGATATTCCTCATGCCTCCTCTAGCAACTGTGTATGAGAGGAATACATTCTCTTCTTCCCCACCAGCAGGAGGTGCCAATGTAATGAGCCCAGGAAAACATCTATGTACAAAATTATAGTACCAAAGCAGGACACTGCACCAGCTCATCCCAAGATTAGACCAACTTCTGCAGCTCCAGAAGCCCCAAGAAAAATCTGCTAGGGGAAGGTTGCATTGATGAAAAGTGCCCAGAACTTTCCTTCTGCTGGATCCCCAGGGAAAGAGTGCTGCAGGGCTGGTGGGGTGGCACTCCCTCAGTGCAGCCTCCATCATTGGGGTTCCTATGGAGCCCCAGCAGAAATTAAAGCTTGTTCCCTGGCAGAAAGCCTGAGAGAATACAGCCGTGATGCCACTGCTTAGTCTTCTCCCTTGGAGAGAATTTCTCCTGGATGAAGGGACTAGGCTGGCCCTGCAAGGTGTAATTTGCACCTCTTTGCAACAGAGTCAATAAATCTGCTCCAGGTACCTTAATTTCCTTTCTGCCAGGTTGCCATGCTATAAATTAGGTATGTGTAAATACAAACTGCCTCAGAAATACTATTACAATAGGATAAGAATCATCAACCTTATTAAGGGATTTATCTTTAGCTACAGTACAAAGAGGATTTGAGGCTTAAAACTCCTGAGAAATTTTTGATAGAAAAAAGCCCCCCATTGCTGTGACCTGACAAAGAAAACTCTGAGAGATCTTCATAAGAATTTAAGTCAAACATTTATCAGTTAGTGAAGGATGTTGAGGTCCCTTGCAGGTGAAAGGTGCTCTCTCTATGTAAAATCATTCTCATCATTACTATAAGGCATAAAGGGAAGGAAAACAAGAGGCTGTATACTATATGGACGAGTCAGTATCTAGAGCTGAAAGTTCCAAAGCTCCATGTGTGTATAACGACACTTAACACAAGCAGAAGAAACTCAGGGTGGGCCCCAATTTGACCTGGAGGGACCCCCCTATAGCACAGGTGCTGGAACTAGCACTGCAGCACCCCCTCACTTGAAGTGGTTTCCATCATATACAGGGTTTATAGTTTAGTTCAATGGCTTTCAGCACCCCCATTATACATTGTTCCAGCGCCCCTGCCCTATCGAATGAAAGGAGAATCCAGTCTTCATGCTTTCAGTTTCTTTTCTGAGGCAACCAACCTCTCTTCTGAGGTGCCAATTATGGGTGTGATTTTTGTGCTGTGAGCACTTACTCTCTGGGAACTGGACTGAGGCCACCAAACACCTGACAGATGAAAGCTTTTGAACTCCATTGACTTGGGCTGGATTTGTCCATCCAACCTAAAGGTGAAAGGTTCCTTTTACCAAGCCCTAGAGTAGGGGTGGCCAACCTGTGGCTCCGGAACCGCATGCGGCTCTTCAGAAGTTAATATGCGGCTCCTTGCATAGGTGCTGACTCCGGGGCTGGAGCTCCAGGCGCCAACTTTCCACTGCTCAACCCCAGTCCCTGCCCCCACTCCACCCCTTACTCCAAGGCCCCCACCCCTTACTGCCCTCTCTCCTGAGCCTCCTGTACACTTCAAAACAGCTGATCGTGGTGGGCAGGAGGCCTGGGGAGGGAGGGGGAGGTGCTGATCGGCAGGGCTGCCGGCGGGCAGGAGGTGCTAGGGGTGGTGGGGTGGGGGGGTTGCTGACGTATTACTGTGGCTCTTTGGCAATGTACATTGGTAAATTCTGGCTCCTTCTCAGGCTCAGGTTCGCCACCCCTGCCCTAGAGCAATCCAATCCCCTAGTGGTACTGAATCTTTACTTTGTCCCATACATTTTTTTTTTAAGATACAGAGCCAGATTTTGATCAAAGTTACACTAATGTAGTTCTAGACTAAATACATTTAAAATCCATGGATTTAAGATCTAGCCTATGTGACTGAGATCAGAAATTGGCCAATCGCATACGCTGTAAACACAATAATTCTCTTTGGTAAAAAACAAACCTTTTCCTCTGACGGATAAAACCCCATTGCTCTCATTACAAATGGAACTTCCTCCAAGGGAATATGTGTTGACACCTGTCTGGTCTCCATTGCATCAATACCCTGACTGCGCAGCTGTGCATAGTAAAAATAGTCCTCCAGTTCCTGAGAGAAAATCAAAGGAAGTACAACAAAGTTCAGTTTCTCAACATGCATGGCACATAAGCCTCTTTGAAGATATACTAAAAAGCATATCAATGAAATGATTGCTAAAGCAGATTTGGACCCCCACAATTTGTCAGACCCATATAAATTAATTCTAACATCTTAACCAGCTGTTACCACACAATGTTTACTGTGACTGTAATTACCCTGAAGAATTCACCATCTCTGCCGCCATCCAAAAGGTTGTAGAATGGGATCAAATCCTCACCGCCCAGAGAAACAGCAGCCTCCAAAGCACTATGGCAATAACAAAAAGATAGCTCAGAAAGGGTTCGTGTGAGGAAAAATGTCCTGTTTCCCTTTCCACTCATTGCTGCCAGCCACATAGACACTTATAACAAACAAATAAACAAAATCCACCCAGGACTCAGAACAAACAGGGAAAGGTATAGTTCTAAGTTGAAACTTATGTTACTCTATGAACAATCAGCACTTTCTATCCCAGGATTTCCCAGTGTTTTACATACAATAGCCCAGTATAGTAGGTAATTCTTATTGCATGTGTCTCTGGTCTAATGGAATGAGCACAGGGCTGGGAACCAGGAGATGCTGGGTTTTAATCCTGGCTTTTGCCACTGACTTGGTGTGTAGTCTTTGTGTGTGACATTTAACTTTTCTGTGTCCTGGTTTCCCCATTTATAAAGTGTGTTACTTCACAGGAACATTGTGGGGATTCATTAGCTTATGTCAGGCCAGCACTTTGAACAGGTAAAGGGCTAGTGCGCAGAGCTTTCCACAGAACAATCAAACTTTAGCTCCTAGTGCCCGGACTCTAACAATTACACACACACCTTCCCGATAAGATATTAGGCTCTGTTACTCAGGCGCTCTATTCTCCACAGTGGAAGACAATGTCCTAGATGCAGTGTACATGTAAAGATTCCGCTCTAGCTCCATCATCTGTCATCTAAATTTCAGTTTCATAGGCAGGTGGAGACAAAAGTGCCACATGTGTTAGTCAGGATGCAGAAAAGTAACAGCTCCCACAATGAAAACTGCCCAAGACACTACAATAGCCTGGTACTGCAATTACATCAGCAACATCCCGGTGCATTCATGACAGCATGGCATCAGCTTTGATCTGCACCTTTGGTGTGCTGTTCTCCATTATGCTATCTGCAAGTTTTATGATTTTTTGTAATTAAGTTATTTGACATTAAACATAGTGGAGACTCAGAAAATACCAGAAGCAGCAGTAAAGTGATAATTAGCTCATAAAGAGGCTTCATTTGCTCTGGCAGCTCGGAAGTTGCTCTGTGCCCTCACTGCTGTGCAACTGGCTGGTATTACAAGGAAATCATCAGGTGGAGCTCTATTCATAGTGGACAGTGTCTGAACTGAATTCTTTGCAGAGTGAGCGTGTTTGAGGGATAAAGCCCTAGGTGCACTCCAAAGGGCAACAATGTGTTCTTCAGCAGTATCTTAAAGTCAGCCCCAGCAGGGATCAAAGAGAGGATGAATTCCCACCTTACATACGATGGCAACGGGTACTATGAAAAACCCTAAGGCAGACAGATAGATAGCTAACCCTCTAACCTAAACCATCCTTCAGTTCTAGCTTTGAGAATGAGTAAGCTCCATCTCCTACTTTTTCAAACATGAAGTTACGCTGCACTGAAAAGGCTGGTTTCAGAGCATTTGCAGCTGCTTGCTTCATGTTGATGTTTGCATCTATCGATCTAGGCATTCATAGCGCGCTTGGCACGGTGGTAGCCTCACCCCACCTTGTGCTCACATCAGAATGAATAGCCCAGACATTAAAGGCAACAAACATGGCCTCTCCTTTTGGCATCTTTACCAAGGGCCGTAAACAAAGGCTTTTGGAGGAGGTGTCCCCTCTCGGACATCGATGGCACAGCTTTTTGGCACAGCTCTTCAGTTGGAAGCTGACAAAGGAAAGTTCCAAGCTTGCTGCCAGGGCCGCACAAAACTGGCATATACAAGCAGTCCTTACTCACAGGAGCAGTCCCAGTTACTTCAAATGGTCTACTCATATGAGCAAGGCATTAGAGTTGTTGGTCCTAAATCCATTCTGCAAATGGACAATATCAGACCATCTCATTTGGAAACTGGATACTCTATATCAACACTTCTCTATTGTTTTTCATCCTGCAGGGCATTTTATAAGAAACAGATGCTCCTGTAGACCCACCTCCCCGCCCAAACCTCGCAATCCCCACTGCCTGGCTCTAAAAAGATCCCAGCCTGTGGCTCCTCAGGCAGGGATCTTAAAATCCATGATTTATAAATTACTTAGCACTTACATAGTACCTTTCATATTCAAAGCACTTTAAAAATACTCATTTATTAATCATTACGTAAGCCTATGAACTAGGTAGGTCAGAATGATCAGCCCCTTTTAACAGATGATGAAGCCAAGAGGAGAAGAGATATTCCAAAGCTTCCAGAGGGAGGCAGTGTCCAACCCAGGATTAGCACTTATGAGTTTTTGATTCCCACTCCTGTGCTCAGGTCACTAGAGCACATCACTGTTTGCATTCACCTTGGGTGAGATCCTGCGAAGTACCGAGTACCCTAAACTCCCATTGACTTCCATGTGACATAAGGATATTCAGTGTCTAACAGGATCTGGCCCTTAGCTGATGGGGCAGAAGCCTAGGAAATAGCAGGATTCTAAGAATTTAGTCCAAAAACAGGACCCTTAATTATAAATTGGTGGGAGAGGGAATTGTGGGTTCCATTGCCAACCCTCTCAGATGATGTGATGGGTAACTGGACACTTGGGACCAGATTTTCAAAAGAGTTCAGCATCCTTAGTGATTCCCACCTCAGAACACCTTTGAAAATCTGCCCACCTCAGTTAGGTGCCTAAATGGGAGCTGAGCCCCTTTTGAAAATCTGGCTCCAATTGTGGGTCCCGAGCACGTGTGAAGATCTAGCCCTCTCTGTTTTAACTGCAGCCCTTCTAGCAAACCAACGCTGGATCAGGTAACATTTTAAACAAAGTTGAATCCTCTGAAATGCAGGTGTCAGTGCTGCACAGGATGGTATTAGAGTCACGCTTGCACCAGGGTACCTATATTAATGCTTCTTGGCTGAATGAGTTTTAGGGGCTTCAATGTTAAGCCTTTCTGAAGCAGAATGGGATCCTTTGGGATGAATATCCCTATATAAGCATAAGTTCATTGGCAACGGGACATATGCTTTAACTGTGTTGGTCACAGTTGTGTAAAGAGACAGAGCACATCACAAGCAATGAGAACAGCGCGCTCTGCTTTTATCCCGGTGTTTACTCACTTTACATTAATTTCCCATTTCATCACGATGCAGTCGTTCCCCCCCGCTGTAAAGACATGGCATCCATCGTAGGAACTAGCAAGGTTGGAGACACCTCCTGGATGGCAAATGAAAGCCGAGGACTTGTGGGGGTTACCATCAATGGGCAAAATCTGCAGGCCAACCTATCAAGAATAAGGGTAACTCCATGATGATTGGCACTTTTATACAAATTCTGCTCTTTTAGTATTAGACGGTGTTGGTGGCCTGTGGTATACAGGAGGTGAGACTATATGATCTCTGGTTCCTTCTAGCCTTATGCTCTATGACCTATGTGACACAGAGGGGTAAATTCTACCCCCTCGTAGGCTGGCTAGGAGGTTGTGCTGTCCACTGTGGAGGGTTCTGTAGTGACAAGAATCCACTCTCAGCCTGCTCTGAAAATACTCCTGCAGCACTGAGACTGCAAGAGCTCATGGGGCTGTGTCCTGAATCTGCATCTTCTGCATGGGGCCCTCAAATCCTATCCATTCTAGTGCCGTGGAAATGCACCAGATCTGCAGTGCACAGAGACCTCCATGCTAATGAAAATGGGGCAAGATTTACCCCAGAAATATTCCAGTGTGGACGAAAGGGCTGACTAAGGAAGGGCCCATCAATATGTAAATCTAAAGTTTTACCACATTGTTCCACGAGTCAGTGTGAATCTCAGGGGCACAAGCAGTGCTGGCCCTAATGGTAGCCTTCCTATAGATCATCCAACCTGTACACTATGTGCGTAGGGGCCATGTTCTGCTTTCAGATGTAATCACACTGTCTCCATTTGTGTTAATGGGTTTCAGGTGCCCATATCAGGGTAGAATTTGCCACCTGGAAACCCAAATCAACAACCCAGGAAGGAATAAGTCACACGGCTCTTTTGAGATAATCAAATCCCCAGAGCTGAATTCAGACCTGGGTGGAACCAGGAACCACCTAGTGACTTCACTGGAGTTATATCTGCTCACAGTAGGTCTGAACATGGGCCCGAAGCATTTGCAGCACCTAAGCAGCAGTCTTTTTTTTTTTTTAAGTCACTAGTGTGTTATTCTACACTGGCCACCACTTCCGCACAGTAACCACGCAGGGAGCTCAGCATAAGCTGGTGGGAAACGCATCCATGGATGACAGGGTCTTTCCTCTAAGGAGAGCAGGTCTAACAAAAAACAGAATACAAGCAGAAAAGGAAACAGCAAACTCCTGGCTTCGAGTTCAGTCCAGCTCCATAACCCCTGGGCTTGAAGCCAGCCCATCCCAAAGGCATTCTCACCCAGCTGTCTGCCAAGATCAACCTTTATAGTCCCTCCCCTGAGGAGCTGTGTGCAGAGAGGGATGCTGAGCTGAGGTTAACTCCTTCTTCACCAGGGACCAGGGCCGGCAGTCGCCTAGGGCGCTACAATTTGGGGGGCGGCAACCGCGGCGGTATTTCGGCAGCGGGACCTTCCGCTGCCTCTGTGGGGGGCGGCATTTCAGGGCGGGACCTTCCGCCACTTAGGGTGGCAGAAAAGCTGGCGGCGCTCCTGCCAGGGACAGGTAATGTTCATATATGGGGAAGGGGGTGGGTGTCAAAATTCAATACCATTGTTATTGAATATTCAAAGTATAGAGAAATACTGTGGTACCTGTGGGGAAATACTGATTTTTTTAAATGGTGACCACTGTGCATAGAAAGCAATACAACTGACTCCCAAGTGAAATACAACAGAAAGGCTAAACAACTCCTCTCCACAATTCCCACCTCCCAGTCCCCTCATCTCCTACTCCCAATTCCTCAGCTTCCAATACCTCTGGTCTCACCCAACCCTATATCTTTCATTTAATCCCCCCAGTACCTCAACTTCAGACCTGCACTCTCTTTCCACTTGTTTTGTTACTTGCCTTGCTGAACACATGCAGGACTAGATTACCTGAAACTCAGAACCTCCCATATCTATGGTGAAACCTTCACTAAGGACCTGCATGTACAACAGGCAAACCTTTGTCCTAAGCAAGCACTTTAAAGTATTCCAGAGATTGAATTTTTCTCTCATGCTGGGTAGTTGCTATGGGCAGGTTTCACTATATGCACGCACATGTAGAGGATATGGCGAGGAGCACTATAGAAATATTTGGTAGTACACCTCTACCCCGATATAACGCTGTCCTCGGGAGCCAAAAAATCTTACTGCGTTATAGGTGAAACTGCGTTATATCAAACTTGCTTTGATCCGCCGGAGTGCGCAGCCCCGCCCCCCCGAAGCGCTGCTTTACCGCGTTATATCCGAATTCATGTTATATTGGGTCGTGTTATATCGGGGTAGAGGCGTATAAATAAATACTATAACAGAATAATACCTAGCTCTTAATAGCACTTTTCATCGGTAAATCTCAACGCAGGTCAATATCATTAGCCGCATTTTACCAATGGGGAAATTGATGCACAAAGATGGGAAGTAACTTGCCCAAGTTTACCCAGCAAAGCTATGGCAGAGCCGGGGATAGAATCTAAGTCTCCCTCATTATAGTCCAGTGCTCTATCCACTTGGTAACACTGCCTCCCTTTAAATATCTGGTGTATTTCTCCCTTAGGTACAAATGGCAACTGTACCTAAGGTTCTTTGCAATGTTATGCAAAACAATCCAAAAAGCATATCTGACATAAATATATAGGAACTCTGTACCTTATCTTTTGTAATATAGGCCAGATATCGTTTTTGTGGATCCTGACTGTTTGCTGCTGGAAGGATTTGTATCTTCTCAAGAGGTGACCCGTAGGTTGGCCCCAGAAGTGTCTTTCTAAAGGAAAACAACATTTTCATTTATTCTATTGATCTTCTCCATTTTTTCACACAAATGTTGCTGTGCACAAGTATGGGATTGGGCATGTGTGTGTGTATAGGGGTGTGAGAGTGTGAATTTAGTGCTGGTGAAAGGTGTCTAGAGACCAAAATCTTCTACTCCAATTGCCCTGTCTCTCTCCTTGGAAGGGCCACCATTGGGAGTGAGAGAAGAGTTTGGTCTCCATGGCTCATTCAGTTATTGGCCTTCACTGAAGCTGCCTGGCTCCCACTAGCTCAAATATCGGCTTCCCCTTGGGACTCTGCACTTTTGGTTGAAGAATGACCCGCTCGGCTTCCAACACATCCAGCTCTTTAGGCTCGGACAACAATCACACATCGTTACATAATCTCAGAGGGTTAGCATTCAGGGCAAGCCGGCAAAAGGAGCTTTTAAAGAACCACTCTCTTGGATCATCTCTGCAAACACTGTGATTAATTTAGTCACTAACATCCTCGATGGCTGGCTAGTGTGTCCTCTGTGAGACAGCTGGCTTCCATTCCATTAACGTGTGTTATACAGTGATCAGTCATTTCCACAGGAAACTTTGAAGGGGGAGCTAAGAGCTGAATTCTACCCTCAGTTACATCCATCCAGCAAAATCTTTCTCCGCGTATTTGATGTGCTCCATTAAGAACCTGGACTATTTCAGCTTCTGGTAAAAGGATATTTGGGCAGCTGTAGCAGTGAGACAGGAAAGTCTGGCTCGGAAAGCAGAGAGAGGTCTTGAGCTGGACTGGATGCTGGCTTCACATTCTTTATCTGAAAACCAATACAGGGTCCATCTGGGTTTAAAGTCTGCTAGTTAGCTTTGTTGGCCAGGGCAAGATTCCTGTTGTAACTAGGGAAAACCTTCTGAACTGATATTTTGGTAGCTAGCACAGTCGAAGTGGGGGTACAGTAGCCTGATAACACAGACAGCTTTATCAATTAAATCAGTGGAGCTATGCAGGACTCTATCATGATCACAATTTCCCTCCTCTTTTAGTAAAGAACGTTGGGTCCAGTGGTTTGAACAGAGCCCAGGCACTCGGGACTCTGAGCTTGTATTCTCAGTTCTGACTCTCTGCAAGTCCATTAGGCCAAATTCTTCAGTAGTATCCACTGATCTTGGGTGCACACCAAGAGGAGAAGATTGGGGGAAAGGCGAGCAAGGTTTGACTCACTGTGAAAATTTTGAGTTTCCCAGTTACCTGCACATTTTAGTCGTAGCATTATACAGCTTCATTTTGTACCGATTATTGGCAGTGAGAATAAAAGCTTCTGGAGTGAAGGGAGGGTACCAGGCCAAACACATTGGGACCGCGTTCTGTTCAATGCGGTCTCTTCGCAGGACTGCCAGGTATTCTTTACTGCTGCTGCCTAGATCATACTCCACCTGAATAGAACACAATGAACAAGATCCATGTGAAACAGCTGCACAGACTTGCCAGCATTCATGGTAGTCTGCTCCTCCCTAGTACCTTTTGCTTTACACTAGTGATTGGAGTGTGCTTTTCAAATGCTAATGAATTCACATCCCCAAAAGCCCTACATGGTAGGAGAGGAGATTTTTTGAGGTTTATAAAATGTTACTGTTGCAACCTCTGCTCATGTATCCATAATTATGAAAAATCACATGGATTATAACCTCACTAAGCTGATGCAATGTCAGTTACGGGGAACACAATAAGAACTCCACAGCAAAAGAAACTCAGCTCCCTGCTGACATGCTAAACCCTCAGCCAAAGCTGGAGGTGTAAATCCCCTGGCTGTGGAGGGTCCTGACTGCAGTGGAATTGGTGTTAGTTCATTGGGGGAAGGGGAGTGGGAAGAATGTAGGGAACCTGTGCAGGGGTATATGGTCCCCTACACATCACAGGGACACTGTTCCTTCACAGTAGTTTTGGAAGCCTGTGCTGGTGTATCCGCTGCTACATGCATCAACTGGCCATTGCCTCCCATTGAGAAGGGTGCAACAAGAGATTGGGTCCATTTCACCCTTTGCTGCTCTGCAGCTTGGGGGCAAAGGGGACAAATCTTGCCCTATTGGAACTTCATTGCTCTAAAGGCAACTGGTATGGAGCCTGGGGGAAGATTTTTCACCCCCAGTAACTAGACAGGTCTTGCAATATGAAGTGAAGCTCAAAGTGAGAGTCTACCTGGCTAAGAGAGGGAGCAGGTGACAGAGTCAAGGGCCCTTCACTGAGAATGCCCAGCTGCCAACTCCAGACGTGCAAAGGGACAAGCCCACTGACTATCAATGATAGGGGCATATTTGTTCTCAAATGGTGGGATGGAGAGTTGTCTCTCACACAGCCAGGACCTAAGACACACAGGGTTTCATACATGAAACCCAACATCTTCAGTGGTGCCTGGAAACGTTCAGGCTACAGATGAGTAAACTGAGACCCAGATGAGCTAAAGTAACTTACCCAAGGTCAAACAGCAAATTGAGTCAGAACTGGGAATAGGACCCAGGAGTCCTGCCACCAAGCCCCTGCTCTAACCAGTAAACTCTACTGCCTTGCATGCTTTTAAGCAGACTTACCAACAGCCTGTCCTCCCCAAGGCTTAAGAGCCTTGGTTGATCGCTGTCTAAAAGGACTCCAAATAGTATACTTCGAATTGGTTTATAATGTGAATGAAGCCCTGCTAGATGCTCCCAGGATCTTTCACCATTTTTCAGTATTCTTTTGTAAACAGTCACTGCATATTTTTCATCCTAAAATGACAATACAAATATTTTAGTTGATCTTCAGCCTGCACTTCTATTGTGTTCCCCCAGCTGTCAAGGAAATTCTTAGCATTTCTTAGCTCATTAGTCTGGCCTACAGGCCTTTCTAACTACGTGCTGGATAAGCCACAAGGAAAAGGAGGAAAATAGAATGCCAATAACAACAAGAAACCTGATTGGGAGAAAGGATCTGAACAGAATCAACCAACACTAAAATAACAAAGAACAACTCTTCAGCCCTGCCTGAAAGGAAGCCACTGACCAACCCCGGGGGTATACTAGAGTGTGCTTCTGCTCTGGAAAGGAGATGTAAAAATGGCACCATGAAACTCTATATTGATTGTCTCTGCGAGCCTGGAGCAAATGTGATCAGGTTACAAACAAAAATATATTTTTCTTAACTTCCAGCCCCCATGGGATGTATCATCATCAGTAATTAAGATTCTGCACTCCAAATGCAACCTCATTGCCTTCAAATACTGCCAGTTACATCTGTGCACTGAAATATGAAAATGAGTTCACAATTCTTTTGATGATACATGAGCCAGACCAGACTCCATCTCACTCTCCCATCGCTAGTACTGCAGGGATCAGAGGAGTAAAGAGATGTCAACACTTATTTTTGTCACTAGAATCAGCTGGTAGGGCTCTATATAGAGACAGGGAGCAGGTACACTGAGGAGGAAGGTGCCATTTTTACAAAGTCACAGCTTTAAGAGAGCTTTAAAAGAGGGAGAGCGTTCCTGCCTGTTCTCCTTTCAGGATCATATCATGGCACAGCCTGTAAGTTCCAGTCCCACCAAAAGGTGCTGCAAGGAGAATATACATTTATCTTGAGAAAAACTTACAGCAGTTGCAAGATACTGGGAATCATGAGAGAAGCTTATTTGAGTTACTGGCCCTCTTGAGTATTTGAACTCTTTGCAATCATCTTCTAATGATATAGAATCAAGGATGTAAACGGTTCCATCAGTAAAACCAGCCACCAGAAAAGAACCTAAAATACACATCAGAGAACAATTATTGTACAGATCACTCATCTCAGGAAACCTGATGGTCAATGTTCAGTGAGATCTCAAGGTAAAAATACCTTCAGGGTCATAGGAGAGGCACTGGATACTGGCCCCCATAAAGATTCGGCTAATGAGATACTTTGTCTGCATATAGTCCCACACCTTTAGCAGCCCACAGTGACTTCCTATGGCAATGAGAGGCTGGCTAGGGTGGCAAGCAATGGCATTAACAGCTTCCTTGGCCTCCTCCATTAATTTTTCCGGTTTTGTCCCCTCTGCTGTAATGTGAAGCACTGTCGCGTCCAATGTGGAGAGAATAAAATTCCTGTTAACATGAAGAAACAAACACAATTTGATGAATCAGGCAGGTGGACTCTTTTCCCTCCCATTTACACAGCAGGCTAATTTCTTGTCAGTAATTTAGAGAATGATTGCTCCCTAAAACAATGGAAAGAATGGCTGCTCATCCATTCATTCAGCTGTGTCTTTAGTGCAGCTGGACTTCAGTTTCTGCACATACATAAGCAAAGATATATAAACCAAACAACTGACCATGCATATATGTTACTAAACTCTTATCAGGAAGTGGTTATCAGCCATCCTGCAATGTGAGAGACTGGCCCCAATGAAAGTGCCAAATCCTGAAGTCCTTTCTCAGAGCTGAGTTCTGCCACCCTTTACTGTACTGCCCAGGAATCACTCACTGACAACACAGGGACGCTCTGTGGAGTCAGGAACTTAGCAAGCCTAAGGCCATGAACAGTGTTTGAAAAAGAGTCGGCATTAGAAACCAGTGGTTCCTGGGCCTCAGTCCTGTGCTCAGACCACACCTCCTCTCTTTAGCATTTGTAAGCCTGCTCTGACTTTCCCTGTGGGGCAGGAGAGACTTTCAGTCACTTGTCCTGGCGTGAAGCTTGGTGTGCCAGAGCTGGTGGAGAGTTGTGTATCTGCCTGGCCAAAAGAAGCTGCTGTAATTCCTGGTAAGGCAGAAGGTCTGCAGAGGTTGCTAGCTTGAATCTCCATCTATTCATTTAGTGATGGGACCCTAACAGCAGGAGCGTCTTTTAACCTTTCCCTTTGCTTTTCCACCACTTCTTACTTCCCAGAGGGGCTGCCAGTGCCAGGAAACTACAGCAATTACTCAGGAGGAGGAACCAGACAGAGGAGATCAATAGGGAAAATACCTATTCCCTGAGGCAGAACTCAGGTTTACAGAGGAGTCTATCTATGCCCCACAGCTCCCTAGAGAACATGTGAAATTTAAAACTGTTGCCATAAGAGTCTAAAAACTCTGCATAAGGAAGCTCTGTTTCAGGCTGCAGGCAACTGGGGAGGCAAAAATGAACTAGCAGTGGGACAGCCCCTTGCCCCTTGTCTGTGATGGACAAGTTTGATTCTGCATCAAGATGACCAATGTGAAGATCTGCAGCCCTTCCTGCAGAGAAGACAGTACAATGGGCAACCTCACCTACCTATCATATTGTATATTAACACCTGAATCACGTCCATTGACAATTTCACACACAACTAGATTTAGGATTTAAAATCCATTCTGATACAGCCAAAGTACAACAAAGAAAATCCGTCGACTACTAGTTGAACATTTCAACAGTTTCTTATTAATCAGTTAATTATAACCATCACTGAAGGACTCTCACCTGATAATAAATGGTTGACCATGTATAGTACAAGAACTGGAGTAGTCTGAGTTGTTGCTGGCAAGACTGGGAGGGTTTTTTGAAAAGGAAATGGATTGGATGGGTCCCAGTTTAAAGTGGCTGTACCAGTTCACAAGCTGCAGCTGGCCATCATAGAATTTAATGTGACCTTTGACATCACAAGTTACAAAATAGCTAAAAGGAAGGACAAGAATCGGTTAATCAAAACACAATTTAAAAGCGCTCCAGAAGAACCCAGGGCTCGTCTACGCATTTAGTTCACGGCAAGCGAGGGTGTAAATCTACACTGCACTAGTGTGCTGTGCACTAAGTGTCCCTGCGCACGAACAGTTCCCTGATGCACTTTGATCTACTCCTGTTTCAAAGCAGAGGTATATCAAAGCACACTCCTGAACTTCTAGTGCGTGTCGGCAGGGTCCGCGCAGACACTTGGAGCACAGCAGGCTTGTATGGGGTAGATTTACACTCCAGCTTGCCTCAGACTCTTTGTTTAGACAAGCCCTGCTCTGCTCTTCTCTGGGGATTTTTATGAAAGAATTCGCTTCACAAGGCCTGATCCTGCTCTCACTTACACTGGTGTAAGTCAAGAGTAACTAACTGCACATTGTAATCAGTGGCGCAGAACGCGGGTGAGAGCCGAATCAGGCTTTTATATCTCAGAATACCAGGGTGGGGCGTTTTCATCCCCATTTTCTAGATGCGAAAATGAAGCTCAGAGAGATACATGAATTCCCAACAATCACACAATGTGTCAATGACACAGCCAAGAATAGTCTTGACTTCCCGTCCTTTGCATTAACCTCTAGACACAAGGCCTTGGGAATAAGAATTAGTATCTAAAGACTCCATAGCAGTATAGCAGCAGCTAAACACATGCTTAACCTACAAACTAATTTCATTACGTAAGGTGGTGGCATTGTCTAGAGATCTAAGCATGAGACTAGGAGCCAAGAACTCCTGAGTACTAATTCTGACTCTGCCATGGACTTGATGGGCAATCTTGGGCAAATCACGTAACCTCTCTGTGCTTCAGTCCTTCCATCTGTAAAACAAGGACAATGATCCTTAACTCACCTCACTCACAGGGTGATGATGATGTGAGGGTCAGTTAATGTCTGGACAGCACTTTCAAAGTGTAAACAATTAAGTGCTAGGTAATTATTTAGGATAGCTATTAACTTCCAGTTAGCAATCCTTAAAAAGTACATAGATGGTTGATACATAACTGCAGTTAGAGCTAAGCACCTAGTAGTATCACTGCATGTAGGGTGACCAGATGTCCCGATTTTATAGGGACAGTCCCGATTTTTGGGTCTTTTTCTTATATAGGCTCCTATTACCCCCCACCCCCGTCCCGATTTTTCACATTTGCTGTCTGGTCAGCTAACTGCATGGCTTGCCAACAAATATTTTAAAGTTGGCAAAACATCCTCTGTGACTTCAGTGTGTATCAGTTCCCTCTACTGGTTAAGATAGGGAAGCTGCTCTTACAATTCACCCGATAGCCCAAATTAATCCATTCTCTGAACCTATGCAATTAGTGAACAACTGTGGAGCCTGTTGATTAGGTCTGGGGTGGGAGATTTCACAGATTTTGATAGTGTATATTAAGTAAGACCTTTATGTTTATTATTCAGCACAGTAAATTATGAGTTTCTCTTTCATTTAATTTTAGCCCACTGATGGTTTTAGGTCCGGTACCTTGTGACTATTAGGGCAACAAATGTCTCCCTTATCCCACTAGGGGGCAGAGATTCTCAGCTTTCACATAATAAGGAGCATTTCGGCCACATTTATTGCCAGTTAAAACTGACACAACTCAACTGAAGTTAGTGGCGTTTTCCTTCTTACACCAGCAGTGAATTTGACCCTTTTCATCCAGTCCCAGAAGTATGCAAAGCATTGAACCTCAAAACTGCAACACTGGGATGTACATAAAATATATTTTATATGTTTTTTATTATTAATAATAACTTGTCTGTGGCCTCGAGTTCTATACCCAGTATATTAACTAAAGCCACCTGGATTTGCATGTGGAAGAATACAGAAAATATTACCTATAATATTATTTAGAAGAGGATTTTCAGAAGTGCTCAGTATTGGCCCAAATCTGCTCCCTATGAACAAAGCTCCTGCTGGGAGCAGAGTTAGATCACTGCTAAGAGAATTGGAAAACCCACCCTTGAACTCTAAAAGCAATACGCGCTTACACATCTCATTACAATTTTGCATAAGCAAAATATACGATAGTGTGTAGAGATGCAAAAAGATTCTACTGTCACTTGTTTGAGGTGAGCCACATAACTCACCATGTCTGAGTAATAAGAACAGGAGTACTTGTGGCACCTTAGAGACTAACAGATTTATTAGAGCATAATAATAATGTTAGTCTCTAAGGTGCCACAAGTACTCCTGTTCTTTTTGCGGATACAGACTAACACGGCTGCTACTCTGAAACCTGTCATGTATGAGTAATGTGAGACTCTCAAACTCATGCCACGAGAACCTTTATACTAGAGACCGCTCACCATCATTTGGCCTCGCTAACTAACATGGATATCCCTGATCCTGTGATGTGTCGATCGCCCTGATTTGCCACTGCCTTGCACCTTGTGTCGTCACTGATGCTTCTGAAAAGTACTATCACAACAGGTGATAGTACTTGCTTTGCACAGGTGTAACGGCTGTGGAATGTGCAAAGCAGTGGAGAATCGGGTTCGATATATTGCAGGAGAATCCTGTTTTCATTCCAGTTCAATATCCTGAATACATTAAAAGATAACAAGACCCTTACTCAATTTTTACCTATTCTTTACTCAGGCAAACTACCATTGACTGCAATTGGAGGTTTGCTTTGGTGAAGACTTTTGGATTTGGTTCAGTATAAATATATGCAGAACAAACAATGCAAAAAACAGTTTAAACATTGATTTTTCATTTCAGCCGTACACACTGGCTTTTTAAATGCCCACATTAGCTCAAGAACAGGAAAGTATTTTATCCATTACCTGTCAGATGCAGTAAGCACAGTGAGGGCATCTTTCTGCACATACATCAGCTTAATAGCCTTCCTATTATGTGGTTTTACACACAAGCTGGCAGGCATGGACGGTGGGCAGACTGCGTCCCACACCACCAGCTTCCCTCCTGATGTGGCCGTGAGAGCTTGCAAATTGCCAAAATGAAAAACTGACTGACTAAAGAGTCCCACCATCTTGTTGAAAGTCTGCAAAGGAAGCAAAGAGACCCCGCATGGCATTCTCTGTAAAGTACAAACTAACCTACCCTTGCAAAGTTTTCAAAAATTAATGGAAACTAACGGAGAGAAAAAAATAATCTCACAAATCTGAGTGTAGGAAACAAACTGTCTCCAAACAAACTCCTGTTAGAGGCAGTAACATGTCTTGTAGAACGACAGCTCCATTTGCCCCCGAATATCGACAGAGTCCCAACTACATGCTGGTATTTTGGAGGGGCTTTGCTAGGTGAAGAATGAAAACTTCCCCTCCTCTACTGGGCTTTGGGTCTTTCCCACATTTTGTTTCCCTCCACACTGCAGATGGAGAGAGGAGCATCAAACCCTATTTAACTAATGACTGCAGATGTGAAGCTCTCTGTTAGTGCCAAGTATTACCGTCACCTCAGCAGGCTACGGGCAGCACATGCCTCTTCAGTACGAAACTGCTCCCCAGCTCCATGCACATTAGGAAGTGACTGTCCCCAGCCCATGGCGGGACCCAGCAGAGGCAAATCTGTCATGCAGGCAGGAGGAGGAAGGTCCTGCAGCAGGAGATGCAACAGGACCAACTCTTTCTGGGAGACCCATCCTGACCTCTCCTCCCAGCAACCACAGACTGTCTCCTCCAGTAGCCACAGAGTTCCCTAGAGAGCCATGCAGCCTCTCACAATCAACCAGTGTCTGAAATGTTACTTTACAATAACAATCACAAAGTACCATAAACTAGAGACCGGGGGATACATTGTGATGTGGAGGGACTTAGCAAATTCACTCCATTCAGGACATTGTGCTTGTTTAGTAAGACAGACTGGTCGTCACTGCCAGAAAAAAAGCAAACCAGCTAAAGCAGTGCTGTCCACTTACAATACTCACTCTGTCAGTTAAATGAGGAGCGCTGTACTGCAAACCGGTACTATCCTGAGGAGAAATACAGAGACCTTGTTCCACATAAAGATGATAATTTTGAAAATGGACTTTGATCAAAAAAGAGGCTCTAACATGCCCATCACTGTGTTATCTGGGCACTAACACTACATTATTATTTATTATTACAGTAGCATTTGGTCACCACACCCAAGATTGGGGCTTCATTGTGGTAGGCACTGTGCAAATAGTAAAAAAGAAATCTTCTGCCCTGAAGATCTTACAGTAAGTAAACAAACAACAGGGTGGAGGGGAAACAGAAAGGTTAAGTGATTTGCCCAAGGTCCCACAACTGGCAGAACCCGGCATAGAAAGCAAGACTCCTGAGCCCCCATCTAGTGCCCTTTCCATTAGGCCATGCTGCCTCTCCAGAACACAGAGCCACAGTACGTCTCCATCCCTCCATAAACTCAGTATGCTCAGCTCTTCCCTTTTATGTATTAAAGTAGTGTAATTAGAATGTTGGGATAATTTTTTCCCTCCCAGAATTATCTTAGTCTTGTGGCACAAGAACTACAAAAATCACATTAACTCCTATCTCTACTTACCCATAGATAAAATATCACTTGGGTTTTACTGTTGCTGACTAGTTCCTTGTGATTTTTTGGATTGAAAACAATGTAGTTCTGAAATTAAAAAGTTAAAGTTAGGTTAAAATTCACGTTGGCCCGTCTACAGCATTTACATAACTCAGTTTTAATGCTCGGGCCTGGTGGGGTGCTGTGCTTCACAACACATCCATTCTTATTAGAAATGTACTGTGTTAATCTGCAGAGAATTTGACCCAGAGGGCCTGATGATCAGTTTCACTAAGGCCTTCTTATGTCACTCTGGCAGCGTAATGGAGCCTTAAAGTGGGTACAAAAGGCCTTGTGAGTGTGACCCTAGGAATGCCACCTTGGCTGTTGTAAAGCTGGCATCAGGGCTCTACTTTGCACCTGCTGCTGAGAGGTCACTACAGCTGGTGCAGAAAGTCATAGGCATGACTGAAGTGCACGGCTCTATTGCTATTCTCAGGGCCTATAGAAGGTCACAGCCAGAAGCAGTGTGTAGGACTGCTCTAACATATACTGGGGGCTGCACAGGGCCCTGCACAGCCTCAGAATACAGGAATGCAACAATATCTTTGTCCGCCACCCAGGGCCGGCTCTACTGTTTTTGCCGCCCCAAGCAGCGCGCTGAATTTCCGCCGTGGATGGCGGGGGCA